GCCGGACTCTTCTAGCCACTGTGCTATACGCGCCCCCGTATCGAATCTACTGTTTCGAGATGAATTGTGTTCACAAAAACAATTTATCACCAATGGACAGTTAGTCAAGAACCGCCTTGTTTAGGAGATCCTTGTCGAGCAAGGTTACCTCATTCGATCGGTAATCCGTCATATTGAATTCGACTAGTTACGACTAAAAAGACACACAGCGCATGAATGGATGACTGTGAACGATGAACTCGAATCATTCTTGTTCTGAATAAGGAAGAGATGTCTAAATACTGGGCGACTTATGTTTTTCATCAATCTCGTATTAGCCCGTTAATTAAGCAAGGCAATCAAACTTGCCATAAATCCGGATTCGTCAAATTGGTGTTATACTTGCCTAGAAAAAGTTCCTCTTATTCCGCAACGGCCGACATCAGTGGTTGGTGAAGAATTGTGAATGCTCTAACAGAACTGCTACAGCACTCCAGAGACTCCTGATTAAGTCGACCAACAATATAAATGGAGAAAGCGTTTTGAAACCGCTCTTACGGCCAATGCAAGTCCGAAGGTCTTTGTGAATAAGGAGGATTATCCAGACAGTGATCTGAATGAAAATCGTGTCGGGATCCACACGAAATCTGATTTGTCATATGAATAAACAAAGGCAATAAATATGATAAGATATTAAAAATATGACGATACTTTAATAAATAACTCGATATGTCAAGAATATGGAAAGATACGAAAATTAAGTCATGGAAGGCTAGGCGGGTTTACCAACTACTGTGTAAAACATTGGTCAAGGAGGACAACTTGTAAGCAACAGAAAACGAGAAAAATTTATGACACGACTATCCGACATGCCAATAAGCGGTGTCCATTCGTCCAGCCTTCTCCGTCGTCCATTTTTTTGGTTCCATCGTCGTCCATCGTTGTAGAAAAGCTTTCCGCTAGGCAGAAAATTTCCGTCGAAACAAGAGAATTCTTGATTTTGTTTCAAATTTTAAAAATATTCGAAGAATCAAAAAAGAAATTTTCTGTGGAAAGTGGTGTGTTTCAGCCATTAACAATCACCACTGTTCTCACGGCATGAATTACATAGAAGTACGCAGATCGCTCAAAAATGACTTGATTTGAAATCTCTCATCGTCGAATATGAAAAAAATTCAGAACAACCGCTATTCATGAAGCCAAGCGCATTCAGGAATTTGTAATAGACGTGCGAAACTGCTACCGTAATGGGACGACGTGAATTCATTAGGAGTTCGTCGCCCATGAACTGCAACGGATTACATTAAAAGTGGCTTGATAAGTGAATGGCTCCAGTATGGGCAACATTCGCAGAAGTTTCGAATTTCGTCGAACGTTTATCTAGTAAACACCATCGTTAGCGATTTAACACCACGGTACGGTAGTGCATGAAATGCTCTGGAAATGAAGCAGAAGGTAAAGACATAAAGTAGGAAAGGACTTTGCGAACGTAATTTGGTACCGTAGTTTTATTTCTTATATCAAAATTCAAATATCTTGAAAGAAATCGTTGACTAACGGTTTCAGAGGACACTTTCTAACAACTTTTTAAGAGATCGTTTTTCGTTCGATTTCACTTTTTTCCTTCATTGAAATAAAACGGCTTTTGTTTAGCGTATACTGAACAAAGTGCAAAATTTTACCATAACGTAATGTTATTTAGCCTTCGATTCTTCTCATTTTTTTTATTTTTCAAAGGAGCAGTAAGCGCAAGGGTTAGAGAAGCCGTGCAACACATGCATGCATACCGGTTCGATCATCATCCGAACGACATTCTTGAAGAAGGCGATCAGTTAGCAGTTAAACACCTTTGTGGATGATGAATGCAAAACAACGAAACGAATAAGAGAAGTGTTTTGATTAGGTAATATGCCAAATCAGGTTGCGTAAGCAAATATATGAGTAAATAATTTCTGTTAAAAAAGTGGTTAAATGTTTCTATAGAAGCAACCGTTTTTCTTTCTTCCAAAACGCATTCGGCTATCCTATGCAAAATATGCGTGTGGATTTAGATGCCCATTCAATTGATAACTGTATTACCATAGTCATTACAGTAGTCTGATCAGGAATGAAACTATATCTGACCAATATACTTAAAAAAACGAACTTAGAACGGTAAATTTTTTCCAGCGGTTTACAACAACACGGCCAGCTTTCACCAAGGCCTAAACCAATGCCAAGAATCGCTGCCATCATGGAAGGAATCCGAAAGCGAGTGGCAAATATTCCACCACAAAGGCTGGCGACTGCTTAAGGTAGCCTGGGGATGCGTTGGCACAGGTTTCTTGAAATTTGGAGGTTTCGAGTCCGTCCAAACCAGCAATATGCCTGTTTAAATGTAGAATATGTCGCTGGGGTTCCTGACTATCCAAGTGTTAAAACAACTAATAAAATTTTAGAGCAAAGAAAACAGGTTTCCATTTTCAGAGGAACCTATGCTTCTTCTATTGCTCACCTCTGGCTGTTTATGCTTGGCATAGAAATCTGTGTGCATTAAAAGGTTTATAAAGTAGTAGGTTGGTGAAAAAAAGAAAGCTGCACGACTAGAACAAAAGATTTTCAAGCGTTTTTGCACTGAAAATCAATTTTAACTTGTCAAATCCTAGATGATAACGAATGTTATCTATGCATACCAAATTGAACTTCAATCAATTCCTATATTTTTCGTTGCATTTTAACCATGACATTGCAACCTTATAGTTCAATTTGTTCAGTAAGGTTTGAAATAGCGAATCACACTAAAAATATCGCCTCAATTTAATGATATATAGGAAAATTAACTATTTGGTTTTTTTTGAAAAGGTCTTTTCCAGACACGAAAATGCGTGTTCAGCTTGAAAAGTGTGAAAAAGCAGCAAAAGCGCGCCGGGAGGTCAGAAAACATGGAAGACGTCCTCCTGTCATGTTCTGTGGTTTCCAAACCCTAGAAAAAAGTGTAGGGATCGAATCAGGGAAAAATAAACTGCCTGTTTGCCACTTTTCTTTCGAATGCATATAGTTTCTTCTTCTTCTTCTTCCAGCTTCCTTTTTGTTTTCATTCTTTCTTCAATGAATTTCATTTTTTTAAAGATCCTAGGACTTTCGTTTCAATCGGTCTCAACTTGGTGACGATCCTCTCGATCCTCCTTTTGTATTACTCTCAGATGAACAAAAAAAAAGACCCTCTTCATGGTTGTTCCATAAATGTTCTTTTCATCGACGCCGCTATCATCGGCCGAAAAAAGTGCTGATTGACACCGATTCGCCGTGTCGCCCTTTTTTCAGTCTCTCCGATTTATCAATGATAAAACAAAGTTATCAGTATACAAACACTAAATTTCTCTCATAAATACACTTGTAGAACTGCGCGATTCAGTTAATGGAATTTTTGGAATTCAATGGTCAATTGAAGTGGAACGATCCCATGTCATGCACATGTAATGTAACACGATCATTTCATTACTTAGAAATCGAGTCGATTCTATTACATCCGTTCACCATCGCTAATCTGTGAGGATATTGATCGCGAAAGGTCGAATTCGTCACGGTAATCGTTGACATTTTCTAATTTTTAAGGGTTCTATGGAATAAATCACACAACCCTGTACTGATGTAGACATGGCAAATCAGTGGCTGTGTGTACACGTCTGTGTATGAGTATGCGTATGTGTGCAGTTGTAATAAATATATATCCACGTATATACACATATATGTACATATATATATGCTTGTATACACGTATTTTTGGCTGTGTATTTCTTTTTTTTCTTTCTCTCTTTCAACAAACGTAAATCATAGGAAAAACTCGGTCGTCGTCTCGCAACGACTGGTGGTCGACTGCCCGCATGCACGCACGCACGCACGCACGCGACGACGACGATACCAAACTTTATCTGCGGAGTCGCGCGTCGTCGCGATGTATCGCGCAATGTCGCGATACGTCGCGTCATCGCTGTTACCGTCAGCAGCATTAATCTATCGTCTTAAAAACGACGGTTTCAGTTAATGACGAACGTCTGTTGTTTCGACCACAACGGTTTTCAGTTTCAATTTCAGATGTATGTATTGGCAGTTTCCATAAAAAAAATGTCAATCGACTGACGTGGCCGGTGAAGTATTGATTGGTTTCCTTCTTGTTGCTCATATCAATTGATTAATTGATCAGCGTATTCGTCATATGAGCAACAACTATTTAACTGCTTGTCTATACTTTATGATAGACTAGGTGTATAACATTTTCCAGCAATGTTGGTGACATAAGAAGGGTGTGGCCAATTGGTTGCCGTTTCTCTGACACTTCTCATTTAGCGGTTACGGTAGCGTCAATTTAGAAGTGATTCAAAGGTTTTTTCCCAAGAATATCGTTCATGCTAATGAAGGAGAAAAAAATCTCCGGATAGTAGTACATTATTAGTTTTATTGATTTTTAATGGTCAATATGCAATGATGATCACATATCGCGAAAAGAATAAATAGTGTTTTGTTCTGTCTCCTATAAGTCATGGATTAGATCAAATCATCAAGAACTGGAATATGCAAGAAGAAATACGTGCGGAATCACAAAACAAAATATACGAAACGCAAAGAGATTTAGAAAAACATAAAGATGAAACAACAAAGGAAACACATAAGAGCAGGATGCAAGGAACTAGAGAGCATCTGAGAAATCTTTTATTTAAAAATGTAAAGAAAAGAAAGTCAACTGGGATGTTTCATATGTATGCAATAGTAATTTACCCTATTCTATTTTATCCAATAAAACCATATTAGGCAAAACAAGACGCATTAAATCGGAATAAAAATGATAACCACTTCATGTTTTTCTAAATATTACGCATAGACTAAAAATCGATATATTGATCCAATAGCTCAAAAAAACTATTGCGGAGTGGGTGTTGATGTGCATAAAATATACTGTACAATGCTATAAATGGCGTTTAAACACTGTAGGAGATCATCGGCTATCGCTGAACCCGTGAACGGATTGCGCATGATTGTTGAGGATGACAATGGGCGTACTAGTAGCCGTCAATGTCGATGAAGTAGGTCCACCAACGCTGGATGTCATGGAATTGGTGGCGCTGGTGGTGACGGTGGTATTGACGGCACCGGTTGAGGACGTTGTCGAAACAGTACTGGTAATCGCCACCGGAGGTGTGGACGGAGGTGTTTGTGATGTGGCAATCGGACTTCTGACAGCACTTGTCGAGTCTGCCGGTGAGTGACTTGACGAGGGGCTCAGTGAATGTGCATCTGACGAAAACGATCCTAAGAAGATGGTCTTTAAATGATCATCCAGTTATTGATTGGTATAGTGTTGGAATGTGTCGCTTTAATGAAAGAATAACAAACAACGGCAGCGCCGCCGACACAATGGCAAGGCCAACCGGTAGATTAGTGTGTGTTTAAATTTTTGGTAACGATGTCATCAGACCTAATTATGTAATTATGTCATCACCAGAGGTTATTGGCGAATTTGTTCACATATGTAGTAGTAAAAAAAAGGATAAAGCTTGATCAATCCCTGAGGGATGCGCCATGCATTCGACTTCATTAAGATCGTTTGGAGGTGATTGAATGCACATCTAGCCTTTACAGTGACTTGCGGTGGCCTACCGATGTATCGAGCTAGTGCTGCTATCCTTCCAGATAAGTCTGGTACCAATTTACCGAACCCGGAAGGATCGAAGGCTCGGTAGGTCATAGGCGCGAGGATCGATTCCACGTGTGTGTTGCAGGGCGCCTACGACCACTGCGCCACAAGCACGCTTATGTAATAATAAGCAAAATTATAAAAGGTATAGGTCGAAATATTTTTTTATGTTTGCAAAAAGTTGCCTCTTGGTATGAAGTTTTACATCGAATCAAATTTGGTATAGCCAATCATGGTATAGCCATAATTTTCTGAAACCATTAAGGTTTTAAGCGTCCACGATAACCCACAACCGCGAATAACTTGTTGCAAACACGTACAAAGAAGTCACGCACGGTCAAGTACTTGCGCATTTGTGATTTGGACAAATAAAACTGCCCAACGCTGTCATTAATCATAACGATTCTCGACGAAAAAATTGCGCTGATATCAGTGCAACGACAGTTTTACGGTCGCTCACACCAGCCAGCTTATGTGATGCCATAAATCAGTGGAAAACGTTGGGCGAACGATTTGATAGTTCGAAGAAAATTAAACAATCAAACATGGGTAATATATCGAGATGGATTTGATCTCACGATAATTGTCGACCAGGACCATCCGGGGAAGAGCGGAAGCGGACGTGGAAGCATCGACGGTGGCAGCAAATGGCGAGCGACACGCGGTTGTTGCACTGGCAGATCAAGGCAGCACTGAGCAAACGAGCGACAAGTCGCGATTTCAGCGCAGTGATTACTGATGTTTCTCCCCTTTATGAGTTGTTTAGTGGCATCGTGGGAACTTGCCGTCAAATCATTGTGCTTGTGCCGTCTGTTATCAGCAACAAGACCATGACCCATGTATTACATGTAAAGATTAAGATAACACGACACCAAAGTGCAACAAATGACACAAGAAATAATCACAACACACTTTGCATGAAGAGGAAATCGATCATTGCCCACTAGTTTTTGCTATTGTAGAACGCTCAAGCATTGCAAATTCATCACATTTGAAGAATATACAAACCAACATCTCTTCCTTACTTTTCACTCCTTTTTCCTTATAGGTCTCCTTGAGTTCTTCGAGACATGGCATTAGTATGGAAAACCAGGGAAGAAACGAAAATATGCACTGACCACTCATTGATGGATGCGGCTGTTGATGTTGTTGTTGCTGTTGCTGTTGCTGTTGATGTGCAGCTGCAAAACCCATCAATGTCAACGGATTCAGGAACGGCATCGGTGGAATGGCTCCCGACCGCGCCATAGCGGCCAGCATATGTGGCGGAAATTGGAAATTTGACAACGCAATCATCCTCTGTAGTTGTGCCACTGCTGCAGGATCATCGTCAACAGTTGGTGAGTCCTAAAACTAATTTTTATAAGCACAGCTTCTTATTTTGTGACTAAAAATCTTTAAATATAGCGAACACTTGCCGTAGTCACTGGACCAAAGCTTTTCTGTTACTGTCGTTTGACATTGGTGTCGTTTTATTAGATGTTATACACATCAAATACTCATAGCCATCCCTCTCATGAGATGGTTACTTAATCAGGAGTTTAGGTGAGGTTATCCCTAGCTGGTAAATAATCTTAATGGAAATCGACTAATATCTCCGTTATACCGCCTTGACTACACTCTGCATGTGTTCAGTTCTTCATAACCAGATGTGCATAGGTGTACTTGGATGTTTACGGATTGTATTTTGCACGACGCAACCAATCGCTTGCAATAAAGTGAGTAGAAGAACACAGAAAGAGGTTCATGGTGGCCTCCAACAAATATCTCCCGTGTCAACTCCAGGTGATCGCTCTGAGATACCTATGGATGTGGGAACACATCATAGGAAACTTGACCAGCTGTCAATGGGCATCCTCTAATTAGAAAGAAAACATTAAGAATACACTGCATCTTTGAAGTAGGTGGCACACAGTGGATGGCTTTGGTGCGCCACAGAAACGAATACGGTCATTACTGGTACTTACTTCAGTCGCACGACAAATAACTGGATTTTAAACGATGCTAGTGGTTACAAACATAACAAACTATTATATCGAACCTTTTTCGAACTTCCGGCCTCGTTCTCGGCTTTTGTAGATTCGGATCGTTCACCGAGAGTGTCAGCAATAGACCATATTTTTCCAGGTACTTTTTTCGGCGTGCTGACATCTGATGCCGAATCCTTGTGATTGTTATTCGATGTTGGTGTTACTGGTACTTCTGTAAGGGATGTAAAAGTAAAATGATTAAAATAGATAGCGAGTTTTTTGAGTTCTAACGACTAGTAAAAACCTTCTTTCTTTTCTGACATATCGGACATGGAACTGGACGGCCGATCACAACCGTCGAGACCATCGATTCCATCGATATCAGCCAGATCGTCGTCATTCGGATCATCACCACGGCGATTCTGTGGCGACCACGTCATCTTGTTCTCTTTCTTTAATCGTCGGCGAGCGTTTGCAAACCATGTCGACACCTTTAATAGATGATAGTTGTCCAGAATCAATTATAAAGGACACGATAATGGTGTTAAATATTCGTTTCGCCTCTCAGGGCATCATAGAAGAAAAATTAAAAAAATGCTGTGAGGACACGATGAACGCAGAGCGGTGCAGTGAATTTCGGTAGAAGCATCAAAGAAACCAGCTGCGGTCGTGTTTGACTGTCAGTTTATAGACATCCCTAACTTTGTGTAGAAAACTAAACTGAGCACCATAAGTCGATACCAGTATACACCTGCAGAAATTCTTCGTCTACTAAATCGTCACTAAATTGACCCGAATGGTGTGGTGGTGAAGTGCGCTACTCCCCGGTAAGGACAATAGCGCGCGTTCGTTCCTCACCGCATACACCTGCGGTCCGGAGTTTTGCAAATATCTAAGCATTATATACGAGTTATATTTCGCAACATACCCTGCCATTAAAAAGAAAAAGGCAGTAAATAAAAGGATTAAGATTGTAAATCGTCTCATTTGTAAATTCTGAGATAAGTTTTAAACATACAAAAAAAAGACGAATAACTGTAGTACGAGATATCAACTCTTTTTTCCGTTCGTGGCTGCAATCAGGACATTATTATGTGTGGCATTTTCTGAGCGGCGGCAATCATTTGAAACTATCCGTCGGAACCTTTGAACAGGCGAGAATTCTTGTCATAGCGATAAAATCTAGCAAATTAGATCACAATAAACAAGGACACGACAGTGGACTCCCCTAGATTTCTGTTAAGAATCATCAAATCGACGACCTTACGAGAGGCGAGGTAGCGGGCGATAAGTCCGATGAGCTGCAGAATCGCCGCGAATCATAATTAGCGATTTTTTGATTGAAAGATCAAAGCAATCGACCATGACGCAATCTTCGTCTTAAACCTATCGCATAGAGCGATAATTGTCTATCTGTGCGCGCATGGGTGTGTATGTATGCATGTATGTATGTATGTATGTACGTATGTATGTATGTACGTATGTACGTATGTAGGTATGTGCCTGTGAGCGTGTGTGTGCATGTGTGTGTATACGTGTGCGCGTGCATCCACATCCATCGGTTCGTCCGACTGTACAACTGCCCTTCGGGCTATCGATGTGTCCGTCTGTGGAAATGACGGGTAACACCTACGTATCAAAGTCGCTGAGACACGCCAACAGCACTGCCGATGGCTTGGCTGACGGACGACTCGCGTCAATTTCAATTGCACTTGCGATGTCGGCGAGTTCTTAGACGCTCAAAGTGCGTCGATTGGTTTACAAATTGACGATTAGCGCTAGACTCTATACGGTTTCCAGCACAATTACATTGAATATGACCTGAATTCGTGCTGTAAATAATGATTGTAAACGAACAGAACGCTTGTGCGAAGCGGTCAGTAGAGACATTTCTACCAATTCCAGCATACGGTAATCTTGTATATTGCTGCAGATTATTGTTGTTAGAGAACTCTATTACTACAACAAGCATGGAAAGAATACCGGTTTCAGGTACCGTTTTATTGGAACATAGATTAGTTGCCGAAGATGTGAGTGGGTTGACTACAAATATTCGTTTAGAAATTACGACCACTTTTTTTCGAAAGTCTTTATTTGTCTTGATTCACCTGCCAGAAAAAAAAGACATAATTACTTATTTAGTGTCAAATCAAAGTCCAACTACTATATGATAAATTGCCAAACCTGCGTTAGTGTCATTTTCGTCATCACAGCCAACATGACCTTCTCACCCTTGGTAGGATAGGGATTCTTGCGATGATCGGTAAGCCATGCTTTAAGCGGAGCCGTAGTCTCTCTGGTCGCGTTCTTCCGCCGCGCTCCGTCAAGACCATTCGCATACGGATGATACGGATTCATTACGTCGAAGACAAAACTCGGTATCGGACCTCCACCTACCGGCATCATTTCCGGTTTGATGTCCTATAAAAACATAGAGCTAAGGTTAGTGTACCATACAGAACAATCTCTACATCTACAATGTTTCGTGTAATTTACCAAGGAGAACTATGTTTAACGCCACTTAATCTAAAGCTAAATATTATGAAGATGTTGGTAAGAAGACGAGGATAATCACAGTTCCGCAGAATAGATACAGTTTCGTACTTAATCCTGCTCAAGCTTCAGCTATTTCAACTATTCCTAGTTAACAAGCTCCTCACCTTTTAATAGTTAGTAACGGATGAGCTTTTCTTCAAATCGAGTAATGTATTTGTTGTTTGGGAGTAATAAGAGGGTCGCTTGGTGTCTTCATCTTTTTTGCGAACATAGATAATGACCATATATGGCCTTGGACGCTGCCTACCACCACAACGGGCAGAGCGGGAAGAGGAGTGCGGATGGAAAGCGCAGCACGGTGATGGCAGAACAAAAAGCCACAAAGATAGATCAGAAGAATTAAATTAGGTAACCTAATAGCTGCAATGGCAGAGCGAAGAGAACCAAACACTTTTAAGGCGATAAAAAGATTGTAATAGTAAAAAATCCTGGGTGCTCGGTATGATGAAGTGAGCGTAGGTGTGTGCCCGTCGTGTCGCTTATATCAGTTTGTTTAATTTTCTTTCCAAACCAAGAAAAAAGCACACACGCACTCAGCCACACGTACAGTTCTAGTTAAAGCTAATGCATGTCACCAGAGGGCTTACGGTATCCATGTGGATACGTGCGGTGGCGCATGAAACAACAACAAAACAGCAATGTTATTCGATGGGCGGTACTCTTACAGAGAGCTCACGTAGATGATGAAAAACATGAGCACATTGGGGCAAACAGCAGCAGCTAAGCCAAATTGAAATTGCATTTCATCATGTTGACAAGATCGGATACGGTATGTATACATGTGGCGGTTTATATTACTTAATAACAACGCGAACACATCGTTTTGCAACGAATTGCGTCGCGTCTGGTCTCGTTGCATGAGTTGCAGCAAATTGTCAGCTGACAGGGGATTTCGAACAAGATTCCTTGGAAAACCCCATTAGTTCCGTACAGTAGTGGTGGTTTTTTCTAAAAACTTCGACATATCTAAGATTTCAAACCAACGACTGCTGGCGACACTGTGTGCTTCGTTTTTTTCCACGGATTCTTCGCCGATTCGAGATAGGCGACACATCTCTAATGAAGCTATTATCGTTTGACTGGAGTCATAGAAATATAAGCGATACAAGAATGAAAGCTCTGCTGGTGAAGCGTGGGTAAGAGGCTGACGAAAGAATCAAAGACAGATTGACGCGATAAGATTGTTGCTACTATTGGGGGTCGTCTCTACAAGGGCACATCTTGGCATTGATAAAATTGTAAATATTCGCTGTGCGAATGGTAATAACTAAAGAGTGAGGTAGAAAAAAAACTGGAGAAGATAATAAAGATAATAAAGAGAGTTTGAGGCTAAGAGAGACGAAGTGAAAAACAGAAAAGATGAACCGGAAAGGATTAAGCGTATGACCACTTTTACAAGTAGAAGAGAATCCTACTATGATGAAAGACGAATTACTTCAATAAGTCAAAGAAAAACGGAATCCTTAACGTGCACTCTGTTTTTATTTCTTCTCTCATCAATGGTCAATATCTTAGAGCTCCGTGAAGGAAGTATTCTTCTCTGACTGAATATTTTTCACATATAAAGGACAGATGGAAGACGTTGATCATTAAGCGAATGACGAATGACAATGAAATACGAACCAGTAAAGAGAGAAAATCATTTTTAGGCAAAAAAAAAACGAAAAGAAGGAGAACGAGTCAAATGCAACATTAACTTACTGGCTGAAGACCCGGATACATGACAGGAAACGGTAGACCGGCTTGGGTAGCCATGGCCCGGAACGCGTCAGCAGGCATGGCGCCCGGAATGGCGCCGGTGAACGGGAACTGACCACCGGCGAACAGCGGATTGCCGCCGGCAAGAAATCGTAATGTGTCAGCGTTCAATTCCATAGCACCACCACCGTCCGGTTTCAACGGTGTTCCGACTTGTGTCAGCAACTGAGACAGAGACCTTTCTTAGAGCATATTTTGATCTCATCAAGAATTTGGCCAATGTAACGATGAATATGTTTTTCCTTGCTGTTTAAAATTTCTCAACTCCAATATTCTGATGTTTTTCAAACAATATCTTAGTTTTGAGATATCATGAAATGTTTGTTTACTTTTTAAAAATCCGTCCACGTCCGGATTGTATTAAACATCGAACAAAAGAACAATGAATTCTCCCCGTGGTGACGGATTTTCCATAATAGAAAGAAAAATCGCAAACAAAGCATGAAAGAGTTACATTACTTTCACAAAGGAAACAATCCGAAATCATCAATTTCATCGAGATTTGGCAAGAAGAAGCAACTTTTAGGAACGTGACATCAGGTCAAAGCAGTAATGCTTAGAGTTATCGTCAATGTTCAGAGCAAAACAAGCAGAAACAGCTCGAACACCTAGTGAAACGAGAAGCCATCACTTCCTATCATGTTTTACTTTCTTTTCACTTTTTTCGCTTTCCATATTGTTTCGTCGTTTAATTTCTTTTCTTGTAATTTATTACCGTTTCAAGTGACATAAAGATTTGCACGGAAACGATGATCTAACAAGAACAGTGACACTTCCTTCTTCTTCTGTACAAAAATGGCTTAAGGTTTCAGGTTCGTTTTCGTATGACGTAAATTCGTAAAGAAAAGACCCACATCGAATATTCCGCATACCTGTGACGGATTAAAGGTGGAATTAAATGCCATCATTAAGATTTTTGTTTAGACGATATCAGATCGTGTAATAGGAATAGGCAATATACACACCGGCGACGAAATAATGAATAGTTGAAGAGGTTCTAAAACTATAGAAATCTATATTAACATATTTTTTGCCAACGACACAACAAAAAACAAAAATTACGAGATTACGGGTGAGGGAAATCATAGGTGCAACAAAAAAAAATCAGCTAAAAGAAATTCATGACGAATGCGAAAGGATTTTCTACGTTCAGAATTGTCGCAGTTGAACGACGAAGAAAAATAAAGAGAAGTCTTTCCATTAAAAAGACAAGGTTTCTTATGGCTCGGAAAAGGCAATGTCTTTACATATTCTGAGAATTTGAAACCGCGCAAAATACTTCTGTTAGCGCAAAATTCTTGGTAAAATATTTGGCTTCCGGAAAGAAAATGTGACAACTCAGAATCTGAAAATAATAGTTGGATTTCATATAGTTTTCTCTATAACACTTACGAGTTATTCCATTCCTCTAAAAGAGGCCTTTCCAAACATCGAGTGATTCACTCGAATCAGAAGATCCGAAGGCGGATTAAAGTGTGATAAGACATAGATTCCATTGTCTGGTTCTGCTAGCATCATATCCATCACAACTCTCGAAAGCTCATCGATCTTCCGATTTGAAGTGCTAGTTGAGTGATAGCAGGTTTTCGATGATAGTTTTCAAATAAAATACAATGAATACGAAAGCGATATGAAGAACGGGAACGATGAGTGATGAACTGGATGCATGATGACCGGCCGTGCAGCGCTGATCGTGGTGATGATGGGTAGAAATTGTCGACTTGACGACGAGAAACATGAATCGGATGGTTGGCGTTCTCGGTTGGTTGGCCGCTGATAAACGGTACGATGATGATATGGGGACAATAGCGGTGAAGAGATGATCGTCAGTGAAAACGGATAGAGACAACGCTTCACACATACATACAACATGCACGTACACATACATACAAACACACACACACACATACACATCCACAGGTATGTGATAATAATGCACTGTACTGTTTGGCGTGTCGTAGTATAAGAAGCCTTTCTTAGGAGTACCAAAGCATAATCTGTGTAATAAACAAATAGTTGACCGATAAAAGGTTCAAAAGTGACACGGAAGTAGTCGACGACGAAGGAAATGACCAAAGAGCAAAATCGGGTACAAAAATTATAACTTGGTAAGTTAACCCACAAAGTCGCGAATAAGTATTATTCAGTGCTCACAATCATTAGAATCATAACTTTGAGATGATAACCAGTGACAGTTCGGAATATGTGTCGTGTCGCGATCACTCAGAGTGGTGCCACGAGGCGACAAACGCGCGCCCACCGCCGAGACGATTCGCTGCCGAGAATTATGTTGTTACAAAATGAACATGCTGTTCACAAGCTCCGCCCGTCGTCATCGTGATTGGCGTGTTGACGCATATGGGCGGAGCTTAGCCGCTTGTTATAGCCCGCCCACTCAACGATGATTGGAACACGGCAGTGGCAGTGGCGACGGCGGTGGCGGCTCGTTGAGGTCGATCGCCTCGAATTACGGTATTCGTCGAGAGGCAGCGAGAAGAACAAGGAAATGTCCGTTCGTATTCAACGTCATTGAAACACGTTGTACACGCATGAAAACATTGTAATGATTGTTGTTATTGTAATCAGTAGTGATCAGTAACACTTTGTTAGAATTGTGTAATGGAGCGCGTAAGTCCTTTTGAAAAATACGCAGTAAACACCTAATATTACACCAATTCACTTACGTTATGAATGTGGTGGTGTTAGTCGTAGATATGTCGTGGAGGGTAGCACCAAGCGAGCGAGTAAGGTGTGCATCGTTTGAAAGTCGCCTCGTTGAAACGAGCTTGTAAGACAAAACACAAAGAATTCTTGACGAAAACATACGAGAAGAAATTAGCAATTGAACGATTTCCCGATGATAACAGAATGAAAGAAAACTTGTTATCGAATTGAGTGTAAGATAAAAAATGGCTTCTGCGATGACGAGTTGTTTTACACAGACATGGTCGAGTCGAAAAAACGTCATCGTCTATTGTACGCCTTCTTACGCACAACGCCAGGACTACGAAGATTTTTTCAGTCCTTTGCTTGAGATGATGATGAACAAAACAATAATGATATTGATGATGATGATATAAATCACATCACAAGAGAAAAAAGACAAATGTGTAACTGTGTAGTGAATAAAATACACTAGAAGTTGTCTCCCTATGCCGATGGCGGGAAGTATCTCATGTAGGAATAATGATAAAGTGATTTAGCTTTGATGCATGAAAAATCCAAATGTACTCAAACAGACCAAAAAAATCCGTGACTCTAAAAAAGATTCTGTGAAAAAGAGAGTTGTATAGAAATAATTGCAAGTGGTATATGACGGAAAATTATGTGACAGTTGTCCTTGAGTCAATCTGAGGTAAGGATAGAGGCTCTTGTGAAGTCAATAGTGCCAACAAATTAAATATGGAAAGAAATTAAAAAATGCTCATCAGGGTGCTAAGAAATGGAGAATGCGTTTATAATTTATAAGACTATCGAAACTGTTTCCAACATATTTACAATAAAAGGATAAAAGATAAGGGATAAAGCTCTGGGGGTTGATCAATCCCTGAGGGATG